ATAGTGGGATTGACCGTCACATTATAACGCCCCCACGGCAGAAAGGACGAGCATGTTTGGTGTGACGAGAATTTGAACCCGCGACCCTCAGATTGCGAGTCGAGCGCCCTACCCACGTGGCCATGCCGGGCCCCCCTCTAGTCTTACACTGCTAACTTAGGGACGGCTAGCACAGATAGCCCTCATGTAGCTTTGCACGAAATTCAAAACAATGAACATTTAGGAAGATATTACACTTGCATATGAAGCAAGGGCTCCCTAAATATCGGTGTCTCATGCTTAGGATAATAATGTTGATAAGTTCCAGAGTTATCCCCGGCCACTTCTCTGAAAGAACTATTTCTAGGGTATCTTAATGTCTGAAGTCGATTGATAGATATGATGCTTCTATAAATAGCATCCCGTACATACTCAATGTGATTGAAGTTCAGTGAGCACAAGCCATTCCTTCAAGTCCATTTTCACTTCTTCAACTATTTTGTCGTCCAAATTAGTGTGAGCGGATGTTATCATCCATTAAGCTGAAGTCAAAACCAATTGAATCACCTTCAGGCAGCATAAATGGTTGTAGGATGTAGTTCTTATAATATGGGGTATTAATGGTACCATACCCTAATATCTGAAATCGGTATGTTCACTAATATTTGTTCATGTCCATATTATATTTTTACCGCTACTATACGTGTCACGTTCGTGTATGAAAATGGTAAGGCTGTTATCTAGTTTCAATGTAAATTTCGACTTTTCTATAAAACTGTTATTGGTCTATTTTATATGTCATTGTCACCATTAGAGTCAAGATTTTTTGCGCTTTGTTATAAGCAAAATATGCTTCATTTGACGTCTACTTATACAAGAGTTAACGTCGTGAAGTTTTTTCCAATTGTCTCTACACTGACACAACGCATAGTTGCGGCTACTTACATCAGATTTAGCCTTGAAGTAGATACCTTACGTTTGCAACAAACCAGTAAAAACAAATGGCTATGGTCTACACTAATTACAGAAACTAACTGTACCGTTGGGTTTAATGCGGTTTTAACTCTTGTTAATGATACTTTGAGGCACTTATTGGTAATTTACAAAACCGGGCTACGATTAGTCCTATTTCATTCGTCTGAGTTTCGTAAAAATAACGTAAGAAAAGTATGTCAAATTAGCTACATCATTACCAGGTTGTTGTTAGTTCTCTCTATGTAGGCAGGGTTCTCTGAGTGGAACTTAATATTAATTAAACATTCAAATGTGTTTCATGAAGTCTAACTATGGTTAATGAAATCTTTTGATACAAGATTGTTTCAAACCAATATTCAGAAGTCGAGTGCGTTATATTAAAACAGTTTGAAGTCTCACCACGTCGTTTAGCCTATGTCGACCTATTCAATCATGCTCTATCTGACCACCGTACATCTTGACAATAGCCATGCAGCGTGATTTCCATTGCAAAATGATCCGTCATAAGACCGTCATGTTCAAAACACACCCCTCCTCACTGCCGTTTTCCATAACCCACCTATTGTACTAGGACGACAGTTTTTAACAGCTCTTTTCAATTAACCGTTTCATTCTCCAGCAGCTTAAGGTATGACACGATTGAAAGGACATGTCGTGTAAACAACCTGTTGCACGTTTTTTTCTGGATGTTACTGGTGTCACAAGTTGATCAATATTCCTTTGTTTTTCAATGCTATCATATATAAGGGATATTCCTGTATTGGAAATTTTAAATCAGCAGTCTGAAAACATCTTTGTGATCTGAGTTTATGAATATCTGGCTTCGGAAAGGACTATTAGCTACCTTTCACAAAAGCGAGTAGTTGTCAGTGGCATCATACTACTAACGTGTCGCAAAACAACGTAAAAATATAGTTCCGATACCCCGTTCCACCGTGACTTTATATCGAAAGTAGCTGTTATGCGACATGTTGATTAATGCATTCAAGATTGTTTTAATACGATGAACCGAACCCTTTGTGTGTGTAAATATAACACTGGCTGAATGATATTTCATTTGCAATTCATATGACACACACTGATATTTAGAAGCTTGATTTGCATAATAATAATGAACCGATGGGGTGGTACTTTATTTTACAACAGTGGTTTTATCTAGTCTGAGCTATATTATTACAAATTCTGATTATCCTTCAAATTTTCTCTGTAGCTCATTTGGTTAAATTTGTTGGAATGTACCAGTGTTCTGGATAATCATGTTCATGTATAATGGACAACGGAAGAAATATTGTCTTTTTTTTTCCGAAGGGAACAAACGCTGGCAATTTTAAATACTATAACGAGCCTATGTTGTTATCGAGTGGCACTAAGTTCAACACAATATTATATCTTTAATCCTGAAAACACAGACCATGCAACCTTCCAACCAACTTCCATCCAAACAAAAAGTTTGCTTTGTAATACAGGAAAAAAATACGTTTTTATAACAGTAAGCACGATCCTTTTCTACAACGTTTTCGTTTTTCCCTCTCTCAATGTTTTTATTTTTTTATTCTCTCGAATAATATTTTCAAACTTATGAGATTTAATTCTAATAATTCTCGAAGGAAATGCAAAACTAACTTTTTTTATTACATCTACAATATTGAAGAATATATTTTGAAATCGTGTTTCCTACATTCTTATCATTTTACTTAGCAAGATAATCTTAACATTTTATCTCCGTCACCAGTCTGGTAAAACAAAGCAAAGTCTATGAATTATTTAATACATAGATATTTGCGCACACTGTTTCGTACAAGCGCTTACTGTCGCTTAACAATCTTCATGAAGTCACTTTAAGGAGTTTCTATTGGGACTAGGACTGAGGATTTTACCCATTGAAGCAAAGATTTTTAGAATATTTTTCAAAAAAAACAAAACATATCTTGTAAGTAAATGTTTCTTGATGATTCTTTTTCTATAATATACGAGATAGTAAACCATATAATTATTAACTTCGTCTGAAGCTTTTACATTTAAATGAAAATGGAAAACAAAACCACAAAACCAATCCAAATAATTAGCAGCACTGTTGTGTTCTATAGATCGAAGCTAAATACTTTTTACAATATAATTATAACGAATTCAGCTACGCATTGATGGGCTAAAACAAACTTTTCTGAAATCTGCAAAACATTTTCAATTATGCAGTTATAGGATTTGTTTTTCAAACTGACTTTCTTGACATCACATAATACACTATAGAGATCAAACATAGCACTAACTTAACTTTACGTCCAAACTGTCATTAACGAGAAAGAAAAGGTTGTTGCAAGACGTCTTAATAAAAATATAATCAAGAATAAATAGACGTATGTGTTTATCTTATAGAAATATATTTCTATCTTTAGTGCTTTTGGAAACGTGTGCAATAATAAAAGTAATTAAGATTTCAGAATGAACACGGAGTAACTGAAAGCTATGGTAACATATGCATGGTGAAAATTAAGTATTTATACAACTTGGATCAATCAAAGCTGAAGAGTGACGCTTGGAATAGTAAAATAATCTACTATCAAACAGATGCGTACATTAACCCTGATGAAGTCGCATAGGCGAAACGTTGGTTGAAATAAAAAATAATACTCTTTTATATTTATCTGGAGTATAAAGGTCGTTTTTCTAAACTTTTATCAAATTTTAAAAGACAACAAACATATACGTTTAAATATTACTTGAACGTTTA